GATGCAATGATGTTAATTAAATTAATTGCTATAATATGTAAAACGGGATCTCAAAAGGAACATTAAAAAAGCAGCTCATGTAAACACCTTAATCATATTATAGTCTTAATCAGATTAGGGCAAATAATTCCATTAGTGATGTCTATGTAAATGTAGTCACTGTCCTATCTACCCTGCATCTGTGTTTGTGTTGCCGCTGAAAATCAGCTGTAGTGCACGTAATGAAACTCCCCTTTTCATGCAAACCCTTCCCTCTTTCTTTTTTTTTAGTCTATAATATTGTAGTGAGATTACTGTAGACTTAGTAACTAAATTATTTTGACTAAGGTATGTCTTTAAAAACTGAAAGAGAACTGCTGACGATACTAAGTAACTTTGCCATCTGAATAAACATAAACAAAGACCATGATCACACACTTACAAAATCCGTAGAGACAGGACAATCAATACCAACTGGAACTGCATCTTTTTTCAAAAGGAGACGAGCAGCCAATCCGGATTTCATCATTTCCAGAGGAGAAAAGCTGTCGGGTAAAAAGTGTTTCTTACAAATTTATGTTTGACGCATGTTAGCAGACCACTGTAATCCACACGTGCACACACAATCTGTGCTCTCATTGCGGAAAAAATGGAAACAAAACCTTAGTTGCGGCATATTCATAAACACAACGCTGACGACCAATGTCTCTGAACAATTCTTCTACTTGTTTAAATTACAGCTGGCAACACAAGCCAACATAAGCTATATCATGCATATTAATGAAGTTGCATCTTGTTCACAATTAATTGCTTCGAACCCAGTCTTTGTCATGATTTAATGCTGTAAACTTAATGACATCACTTTGTATCGGCTGGTACAGATATTAATTCTCTACACTGGAATTTACACAAGGATCTCATGGCCGCGACGTAGCTTCAAAATTCCTCTTCAAACTAGAAGAATGAATTTGCGTCAATATTTTTAGTGACATATACATGTGTCCTAATAGTGATTTTAGCAACATGGGACACATATATGACTGTCAACATCTCAAAAAATGTTTTTTGGTGTTTCGTCTAACCACCAGGCAACAAAGCCATTGTGAAGCCAAACACACAAGACTGATTGTACTTAATTGTCCTATTATGTTGTGTTTTCAACAGAACAACAAAAAACTGGTTTGCATTAATGGAGTAAATGATTACGTAATTTAAATTTTTGGGTGAACTATCCCTTAAGTGCCTTTAATTATTATGTACTTAGTTGTATCTACATTAAATGAATCATTTGGTAATGAATGTACTTATGTGCATGTTTTTACGTTGTACTTCTAAATAATCTGTATGTGTAATACTAATCCGTAATTAATTTCTGTAATTACGTTTATAATTATACAATTGACAGATTCCTTACACCGTATCCCACCTCAAAACTACCACAAGTGTTGCGCAATACAAAACGAAAGCATTAAGTACATTCTACGTATTTTGGGGGTGAAATTATTTAGTAATTAAGGCCACTTAATAAAAACTTGGACCGAAAGCTGTTGTGTTTATGGGACAACACTCACATTACAACATTTGTATTGGTGAGCAACTCAGTAATCTTGCGAAAGACACCAAAAATCATAATGACTATGCTGGTTACATTTCACAGTCACCATGCACACTAGTGGTTATGTGCTAATAATAAAGGAGACATTGTGGTATTATCCAAGTATCAATGACCTGTAAAACTTGAGTTGTTTCTGAGAGCTCAGTTGGCGTTTTTGTGTGGAGTTTGCATGTTCTCCTTGCGTTCGCGTGGGTTTCCTCCGGGTGCTTCGGTTTCCCCCACAGTCCAAAGACATGCGGTACAGGTGAATTGGGTAGGCTAAATTGTCCGTAGTGTATGAGTGTGTGTGTGTGTGAATGCGTGTGTGTGAATGAGTGTATGTGAATGTTTCCCAGAGATGGGTTGCGGCTGGAAGGGCTTGCTGGAAAAACTTGCTGGATAAGTTGGCGGCTCATTCCGCTGTGGCGACCTCAAATTAATGAAGGGACTAAGCCGACAAGAAAATGAATAAATGAATATTATTATAATTTTTATTATTATTTTAATTATTATTATTATCCCAATTACTCATGGGAATTATTATTACTCCCATGAGGTTGGAGGATCCATACATCTCTGCAATGACTCAAATAACTTATTAATAGTCATCTGGAATGGCAAAGAAAGCGTTCTTGCAGGACTCCCAGAGTTCATCATGATTTTTTATATTCATCGTCAATGCCTTCTCCATCTTACCCTAGACATGCTCAAAAATGTTTTGTATAGTGACTGGGCTGGCCAATCCTGGAGCACCTTGACTTTCTTTACTTTCAGGAACTTTGATGTGGAGGCTGAAGTATGAGCGCTATCCTGCTGAAGAATTTGCTCTCTCTTGTTGTTTGTAATGTATTGGGCAGCACAAATGTTTTGATACCTGTTGATATTCTCATCTCATCCACTCTGCAGAACTCTTGCACGGCCCCATACTGAATGTAACCTCAAACCATGATTTTTCCTTCACCAAACATGATCAACTAGAATTATTATATGTTGCTCTTACAACTGGGATTGGCGACAAGACTTTTGTCAGGTAGTGTATAAAAATATCTTACTTTTTGACTTTACATTTCTTTTCATGTCTTCACATATACCACAAATTCTTCTTTAAACACCATAGTCTTGGGGATATTTTGTAAAATATACATTTATGAATATAAATTTACATCATTATATAATGTCAATAAATTGTAGGCAAATGTTTTAAAGCTTGTTGGAGCTAAACTTTGAAGAACACACATTAAAAGGTGTCATATTCATATGTATGTAGGTAGGGAGACAGACAGACAGAATTTTGTTGTATAGGGATAAACCAAGAAAATCTTTTGCATAATGTGTCCACACAAACCTCATTTCAGCCTGCTGTGGGAAAGAGCAGTCAGATTGTAAATTCTTTTGAAATGAAATGTGCAGTTCAGGTCTTGTAAGCAATCTTTTTAATCAAAAGGTAAATCCAGCAAGGAAACCGAAACATTGGGAAAATATTTTGGAGGAAGTTTGCCTCATTTGGAATGGAATGTCTGGGCTCCAGACTCTTTAGACATGGTCCACTTCAGGTACTTGAGCAGAATTGCTACCGCTCAGATCCCCTTGACCCGTGCACACAAGCACACTTTTTAGCCTGATACAAAATTGTTTCCGTTCAGAGCAGCAAACTCACTCACCCTCAACCCTGATGAACCATAACCCACAAAAATAAATAAATAGAATTACTAACTGACCAAGGATTGCTATTGTCATACATTTTGGACAGGGAGTGTCAAAACTATCCCTTTAAGCTGACAGAGCCAATTAGCTAATAAGCTAACCTAATGAAATCTATATGACCTTAAGCACAGAGAACAGTTTCTGCAACACAATTCAAATTTCTGCTCGTTTGATTAGTAAAACACTTAACAAGAAAGGAAATTTAGTTTCATTCGTCTCAGACATTAATGTTTTACAGTATGCAACTAAATACAACTAATGGTCTGGGGCCCATTTTAAAAAGGGCGTTCAACCAACTCTGAGAATGGAAAGTTTGCTTTCAGATGAGCTGAGCAGTTCAAGTAGGCTGACAGAGTATGACTTTAAATGACATTTGAGGGTAGAGCTACTGTAAATTTGGGTTTTAATTCACATTAAGATAATTTTACTTGGAGCAAAATGCACTTTAAATCCCTCCCGGGAAAGGACTGAACATCTAATATTTTCTTTTATTATTTTTTTATATTTGTATTTGAAGTACAATAAAATACAGTGTAAGAAAAACATGTTTGCAGTGTGCATTTTATGCTGTTAAATGTATTGAAAGGCTTGGACTTGGCTGAGAGAGTAAAAATGAGTAAAATCATGGGTTTAACCGTTCATGGCCAGGTTAGGTTTGCAGAGTTAAGTTCTCTTATAGAAACAGGCAAGAGTTTCCCTCATTTCGGACTTTTCTGTGAAACATATTTCACACTTCTGAAATGGTCCAAAGGACTCATTCTTGTATAAATATGCGTTTATACCATATGCGAAAAGTTTCAGGTTATATGCAGGCAATTTTAAGAGAAAATATTTCATCAAAACTTGAAGCAGGACTCCATCAAGCGAGCTCAACAACTCACTCCTACATGAAATACATACATCTTTTTTCCCCCCCTTTGGTTGCTTTGTTAGTTCAGTCATCAAGAACGGTTCAAGTTTTCTGTGATCATCATGTCACTTGTACAAACAACGGCAATGCATTTCAGCAAGAAGCATGACATTGGCACACATACTTGGATTGTGTGAATCGAGGCTTTTACAGTGACCCCAAATTAGATTTGAGGAGATTAGCAAATATGATTTTATAATCTAATAACGAAATTCTTAATCAAACTTTCTAAATCATTATTGACATGCTGTGGACATTTTGCTGAAGCAAAAAGTACAAAAATATTTTTGACATTACTTCATTCTAATCATCCATCCTTTAACATTCTAAATTGTTGTAATTGAATGCTTGTATTACCGTGATAATCCTTTAAGAAGTGCATTTCATTTCTCTTCAGAAAAAAAGTAACCTCCTAAAACACTAACAACTCATCAACTAACATCAATTACTCCATAATACTGGCTGAATTTTTTTTTCCTTGAAAGTTCACTTATTGAAATTGAATTATTATATTGTTATGAAAAGGACATTAAAAACATTTCGCCAAGACAGCGCAGAATTGTGTATCTGATGAAATCATGGTTTTTACACTTCATATATAAACCAGCAATTAAAACAAAAATTCTAGGTCTCATATTTGAAGCATCCCACATTGACTACATGCAATAACAAACACCATCCAGGGCAGGAATTCAAACTCTTAAGCTCAATAGTTTAAACACTGCTGCCATCTACTGCTAAGTATCAGACTCTCTCCAATATTACAGAAAGATGACAATGAAAACCAGCAGAAGTGCAAAATGAAACAAGCATAAATCAAATGCTGTTTATTGACAGTTGTGTGCAGCAGTATCATACAGGTGAAACTACATGAAAACAGTGCTTTCTCAGGGTGCTGCCTGTAGAAGTCATAAGAATGACTATTGCTAAAGGTTGGTTAAACACCTTCAAATGTTTCGATTGTCTTAACTGCCTGTACGCAAGAGTATACACAAACATATATATAAAAATGATACACGAAAATACCCTAATGTGTCTAAAAGACAGTTAGAAAACCAAACATTTATAACACTTAACACCCACACTTCAGGTGAATTTTTCATGGCAACACCCCGGTAGAATATGCAGTATAAAAACAGCTTTGATGAACCTGTTTTGACTTCTATAAAAAGATTTTTACATAAAAAAAGCATTTTAAAAAGTTAAATATTATAAAGTGAATTTGCTATTGCACACAGTGATGAGAGGCTTCGAGAGGAAATGACTCTGCTGTGATGGCAATACTAGAGCACACTCAAGGTTTTCTGCGTCTACAAAAAAAACAAAAATAAAAAAGATGGGGGGGGGGAAATAACATTAAACTTCAAATATGCTCTTTACCTAACGGAGAACAAGAAACCATGTAAATGAAAATCTTACTTTGTATAGCCGTGATGCTGGTATCCAGGTCCAAGATTTGAGCCAGCTCTCATCTCCACTGCCACAGAGCACTACACAATAAAGGCAAGAGAGAGGTCAGGAAACAACCTCTATGCAATGGCCATAGACATACAAATTACCAACTGCAATATTTTAATGGTGTGCAAATGGGGTTTAAAAACCAGTTTGTAAATACCAAAAAGAAAAGACACCATTAAAGCCTCTGGGACAAACTAAAAATAACAGTCAAAGGGCATATTTTTCTATAGTTGGGTGTTTACATTAAGGGTGTATTATGTAAACAACTATTCTGTTGGATCCTTGCATATGCGCCAGATGTCGAGTATACGTTTGCCTTTAGCAGGGTTTTTCCTGCTTCAATATGAGTCAAAGGTGGTATCCCAATCACTAATTCTTTCGCTAGTTGAAGCAAACACATTTCATTGTAACGCTATCAAGTAAAATCTTCTCCTAAAAAGGCTAACATTAAATATATGACCAGCGCATCTCGTGGTCTGTCAGTAACCATGATTTTTGTGAAAAGGTGAAGTGGTACAAAATTAGTATGAGGTGATCCGCTCAATTTGAATTGGTAGGATTGATAGGCTCATTATCGGATTTACTCGCGTTTTTGACAAAATGAAAATAAGCTTGCTGACTTCACAGCATAGATGGCATCATGAAGAAAGAACATCATGTAGAAATACTGAAGCAACATCAAGACATCAGCCAGGAAATTAAAACATGCCCACAAATGAGTCTTTCAAACAGACCATGACCCTAAGCATACTGCCAGACCAGTTAAAATATGCCTTAAGGACAACAGAGTGGATGTTTTGGAGTTGCCAGCACAAAGCCCTGATCTCAATCCTATAGAAGATTTGTGGGCAGAGTTGAAAAAGCTTGTGCAAGCAAGACAGCCAACAAGTCTGACTCAGTTACACCAATTCTGTCAGGAGAAATGGGCCTAAATTCCTTCAAACTATTGTGAGAAGCTTGTGGAAGGATATCCAAAATATTTGACCAAAGTTATACAGTTTAAAAAGAAAAGCAAAAAAAATACCAATGAAATGTTTGTAAAGTTTTGACTGTCCAGAAATTAATAAAAAAATTATTCTCAAAAAATAAAAATAAATAAATAAATAAATAAAATTCTCAATGTTCTGGCATTTAGCAAATTTAAATCATTTAGGTAATCCTTACAGACCTAAAATAGCAAACGTTTAGTATAATTTGCCATCAGACATTTTTTTTATGTTATGCTCTTTTTTTTTAGAGTGTATGTAAACTTCTGGTTTCAACTGTACATTTATATATGTATAACGCCCCGCTGGGTAGCAAGCAACTTGAACTTTTTTTGAAGTGTTGTGAATGAAGCTTGCTGGGACGGATGTCCACGTGTGCCCAATAGAAACGAGGCAGCCAACCAGGCAGGGGAGAGAAAACTCCATGGCAACACTGCCATAACTTTCACTAATGTTTCTCAGCTTGCATTAAGGCCAGCCGATGTCCCGCCTCCGAAAGCCATATACCATACGGTGATTGGTAGGTTTGTTCAGCTCCGCACACAACACAGTTAATTTCCATACATATCAAACTCACGGGCCGAACTGACATTAAACTTTCAAATTAAGGCGGGGGCCACAAACTATCGTCAGGAGTTTGAGAGCCCTGGTTTAGAAAGTAAGTGCGCTTATAAAAGCTAAAGTGATAACGATTTCACTGATAAATGTTTGTGTATATCTGGGCCTAAATGATGTGCTTGAACACAGCTCAAGGAATATAACCAGTGGCTAACTAGCAGGTAGTGTTTGATTTTTAATGAATGGTAAATAAAATCACTAACGAGACTTTTTAGGTCAGCAGATGTTCCTCTCATTGGTAGCATCAATAATGTTACAGAAGAGATGGCAGGGCAATGATAATGTCTATTATCTCACCTCATCTCTCATTTTCAATTGCAGTTTATTTGGCTTGATTTACAGCAGAAAGTGATCAGAGTAGTAACAGAGTAAAAGCAGATGCAGAGCAGTTCATGCAGTTTTGAATGCTTTCATCAATTTCGCTTTTATAAGTGAATTGTAATAAAACGAATTTATAAGCGCACTGACTTTTAAAACCAAACTTCCAATCAGATACATTCTCATCAACTGCACCTATAGACCATTTTGAGGGATGTAAACAAAAACAATGGTCTCAATGCATTTCCTGTTTTACATTTTTAATTTCTATAGCTTCCAAGAATCTAAAAAGAGCCATATATTGATAAATGTTACGATAGCCATTTTAACATTAAGTTATGATTGAATTGCCTCTTGTTACACTTATAAAATTGTTTGATAACAAGCAGGAAATGTACACGGGCCAATGGCATGACCACATTGAATTGGTATATACAACATTCTCAATCAGGATCCATCAAGTACCATTGATATACAAAGATGGTGCTTTTGCAGCATAGAGAATTATTGGAGTGGTTCACTTCAAACTAACTTTGTACCACATTGTACAAAAACAGATTAACAAATCACGAGTTGTACTGGTCATATATTTAATGTTAGCCTTTTTAAGATAAGATATTTTACTTGAATGAGTTCTTCAACTAGCAAAATAAATAATGATCAGGATACCACCTCTGACTCATATTGAGGCAGGAAAAACCCTGTTAAAGCCAAAAGTAGACTCTGCTTTTGGCACATAAGCAAGGGTCCAACAGAATAGTTGTTTACAGAATACACCCATAATGTAAACACACCCCCAGATTTTTGCAACTACAGAAATATGCCCTTAGAATTACATTAATACTTCATCCAAAAGGTGTGAGCACTGAACTAAGGTGCTATTTTACAGTCAGACATGAAATGGAGACTAAAAAGGAACTACTCAAAACAGCAAAAACAATGGACACACACTGGCCTATGTTTTATTGGCCGATGAAAATTTCCTGGTTGTTGTCAAACTATTTCATAACTATAACAAGAGGCAACTTAATGATAACTTTACATCAGAGGATGTACTGCTATAGGATTATTTATCAATATTTGGAATTTTGGGGGTTCTCAGAAGCTATAGAAATTAAAAATGCAAAACAGGAAACACATTTGGACCATTCTTATTGTTTACATCACTCAAAATTGTGTATACACACACAAATATAAATGCAATAGATGTTTTTCTCACCCAATTAAAAATTAATAATAAATAATTCAAATCGACTTCAAAACACCACAAATGACTAAAAATCTTCCTGGAAATTCTGATTCTTATTGGCCGTTTTCCCGGCATTAATATTTATTTTCAGCTCTAGGTTCAGCTAACAGAACCTACTGGAGAGGTGGAGATAAAGATAGCAAAAGCCCCATCTGATTGGTTAGATATCTGATAAACAACCTATGTATGGCACACATGCACAAATGCTTAGCACATAATATGTATTCAATTAAATACACTTCTTTTCAAGTTGGATATTGCATATACCATTATCAGGATAGTTTCGCAATACACTATTCAGCCCTATAATCAAAAATCTTAAAGGGAAAAATAAAATGATTTCATTGACCACAAAGTTTGGAGAAATCTTGTCCAGTGCCTGTACCATCAAATGGAGTACTGTGAGACAGGTGTATGACAGGTGTACTTGAGAATCTTACCCTGGTCTCCACATCAGTCCAGTTTCCTTCCATAGGCTCACTGTCTGGGCCAGACTCTGATGAGCGCCTCTTACGGCTACAATTAAACAGCAAAACAATTATGAGACCAATATTCATACACGTTGGTACCAATATAATTCAAGCATGGCAAGTCACCTGGCCGCAACAGGCGTTTCCTGCTTGAGTGTTTCAATATCCGTGAACTGAACAGACTGTCCTCCACCTCTAGTTTTGAACACTTCACCCTATTAAAAGAACAAGATTAGAATTTCATCTCAAAACCAAAAAGAAATGAGACCAAGTAATAGGCTACAAATAAATAAAGCAGATCTACCTTGATTAGCTTGGTCTGAATCTCTCCATCTGATGCCACCTCCTGATGTGTCAGAACATACTTGTCACACTTGGACAGAGCTTTCTCGTTGGGAGCGTTCACTTTGATGGCATTGGGGATGTTTGGTTGCATGACTGTATCCAGGTCCACGTTAGTGGTAGGTTTGTGATCAACCCACCTCTCCCCACCTGCGGAGTGCGAGCGTCTGTGTAGAGGCCGGACCGGCGGCCCAGTCTATTTAATTCAAACACAAGCACAGTAAGAGAAAGAGCGCAGGCCTCAAGCATGATGAACCGTTAGTTTGTTAGTCAATCTCAACAAAAGCACAAACTAAACATGCCAAGCTGTTAAAAAGACAGAAATAAAGCTGAAGATTAAAACAGTTCAACACAAATCTACTTTGAGGAAAGAATTGTTTTTAGGTTGCAAGAATCAAGGCATTTACTTGCCTTTTAGAGGCTTTAGACAAATTAAAGAATGCTCAAGAGTAATGGATGACATTGAGAAGATGAACACTCAAATTTATTTGTCTAAAAAGTGCAATACAAAGCCATCACATCTTTAAAAATAAGCAGCACATGAAGGTCATATTTTACATACAGTTCTTCAGCAGATTTGGGTGGAGCTGAGAATCAGATCAAAAGGTCTATATTAGGCTACGACAGGCCTAGGTTAGTGTCTTGATGAAGCACTACCTACAGCTACAGCAAGATATTCCACTGACCCAGTGAACCGTTTCCTCTAGATCTACATCTGCTGGCTGGACAGGCACCTCTCTGGCCCAACACCTGCCTCTCCTCCTGCTAAGACTGTCGGGAAGACCCTGAGTTCTGTTCCTACAGTCTGGAGGCGACTGGCTACCCTGCCTGCGAGACTGCGGGACACCCTGCTCCCACTCAGAGATGCAAGAGGCCACAGATACACTGCCTGCTCTGGGGAAGTGAGTATCTGGCCTGACCGTCTGAGAGAAGTTATATATAGGCTCCAGAGAGGAGAGGGACGATTGAGAGCCATTGTAGGAAGACTGCAAGTGACAGGAGATTAGTTCACACATGGTTTTTGCATGCAACACACACATCAGTACATTAAAAACAGCATTTAAAAACAGGTGAGAAATCTGTGGAAAGTGCAGAAGTCAATTATTCTTACACACACAAAATGCACAGCAGACCATGCATGGACAAACATAGATGAGGTTTTTGGATTAGGTTAGGCATAAATCTTAGAATCAAGCGGTCTAGAAACGCATGTCAGTTAAACGTACAGGAGCAGGTGACGGGGAAGCAGATCTCTTAGGGGGCACTTTGTCCTTTTCTCTGGAGGGCCGCTGGGGTTGTCGGTTCTCGGTCTTCCCTTCGGTCACGATAGCTTTGAGCTGTTTGAGTTTCTCATCCTTCACCCACAGCTTATTCTGCATTTCCAGCTGCTTGGCGTTTACCCTCCTCTCCTACGCAGAAAAACCAACATTACACAGGTACCAAATTAAATTTCCCACTCTAAGCCACACATCAAGTTCCCTGATTTTTTTTTCTGAGATTCACTGTCATAAAAGCTGACTTTCCATAACCTAGAATTAATAAATATAATTTTTTTGTAAATATAATGAATATTTATTGTGTTGATTGCTAACATTTTTAAAATCAACAAGATTTTTTGGAGAGACTCATGTATCGAGTTGTATGCAAGTAGGCTTTACATGGTTTAGAGGTTTCACTTAGTTTCTCAGTGTTCTTTTATACAAATTAACAAGACAACACACAATTAAGACAACCTGTTCTTGAGGCCACAAAAAAAAAAATGTGGAAAGTATTTTTTTTTTTTACATAAAAAAAAAAGAAATGCAAAAATATTGCTGCTTTTTTTTATAAAGGTTGTTGACTATAAATACATAATTTTAGGCTGCAATAATCCCTTTTTTTTGCAATATTCAGTAGGGTCTGATTGAGAAATGAGCAGACAAAAAAAAAAAACAGCCACAGACAATATTTTAACAGGTAGTTTGGTGACTGCATTTGATTGCTGGTTGACATGGGAAAGGAATAAAACTGCAGTGGAAAAAAAAATTGCATACCAGCATATTAGACATGAATCGAAGTGATCAAGTTTTCTCTGTACATTTTACGGGGGGCGACTTGGACAGTATATAAATGCCCTGACTTAAAATGTCTGCAACAGGCCTTTTAAAATGCTATGATATGCCAGAAATTCAAATGACCTATAGGAACCCTTTGGGAAAGGCTGTTGTTTTAACACTCACACACTCCTTCTCCCACTTGAGCTTGGTGTCAGAGACCATGCCCTGCATGCGAGCCTCTATGCGTCTTTTCTCAGACATTTCCCTTTGTAGCCTCTGTTCTCTGCTCTCCAGTTCATTTTGCAGAGACCTCTTGTCCTCCTCATAGATGTTGGTGGTTTTCTGCAGGATGTCAATCTGCAAACAGTAACGAAAAATAAACAAACATTGCAGATACATTGAAGGGACCCATCTACAACTATTTTAGTCGAGCTTTGTTGCAACAAATATATTTGATCAAATACAAATTCGGGGCTAAACATTAAGGACTTTTGGCCCGGTTGGATCAATAAAATTGGAAAAAACAAATGTAGTCATTTCTTAACCACATATTTTAATGTGTTAAATGTATATTTATTATGAAGAAAATTACATAAGATTTGCTTTTGGTCCAAATGAATTGAGTATAACTACTATACACTTAAATGCATTGCTGTTTTAAAACCTTAAGTTTCATTATAAATATTATGACCACTCATATTTTCTTCTGTAAATAGTTGTGTGTAAATGGAATATTATGTAAAGGGATATATTTCTATTATTATAAAGAGGAATTTTGTAAAAGTTTAAGTTTTCTTTTTCTGATAAGAGAATTTAATTACAAAAATTTGCTGTAAAATTAACAGCTGTTGTGAAATAATCATCTCTTTGCAATAAAAAAAATAATAATGACGTTATATACAAATTTAGATAGATTATTGGTGATTGGATAGGTGTCGGCCTGATTGGATAACATTACCTCAACAACTTTAAAAATTAGGAGCCATTTAAAATAATGTAAGACTTATAAAACATTGTTTCTGTAATTGTAAAGGACAAACTTTTGTTTTAAAATTTAAGACTTTAATACTTAAAGGTCCCGCAGACACCCTATAATGCAGATTTAATGGTCAAACATTTCTTATGAGTTTGTCTGCATTTGTAGAAACTGACTTTCCTAGAACAATTTTAGTAATGTTTACAGACATTACACAGATCTTTTTACTCATTTAATGAGTGCTTGTCAAATTAAAGATATTTTTTAAAGCACGACTAAATTGTGCAAATACCTTGTATTCCAGCATCTTGGATTTCTTTTCCAGGCGATCAATCTCGTTCTTCTGGTTTTGGAGCATTTTGTCTTTTTCTCCAAGTTTGCCACGCTGCTCTTGGATGACGTTCTCCTTGGAGAGAATGTTGCCGTCCTGCTCTTGAAGAACAGACTTCAGCATGGTGGCTGAAACATTATGGTCAGAAATTTGGAATAAATGTTGCATATAAGAGACCACTTAAAACTGTTCCAAGTAAAATGAAGACTTTACCAGTTTTATTGTACTCCTCAATCATCATCTGTCGAATCTTGTGTCTCTTCTCCAAGGCCTCAATGAGTCTGGGTAGAGTGACGTCATCATTAGGGCCAGAGATCTCACAGGGAGGAAGTGGAGGAAATGCCTGAAGTAACTGATTTAATACTGTTGGACAATCTGTAAAAACAAACGTGTGTATATACACACACACACACACCAGACTTGATCAGATTGTGTAAGAAACATGTGCAACTTAGCACATATTCAGTAAAACAATGCATCATTTACATTTTTAAACAAAACATTTTAGAAAGAGTTTGCTATTATTGAAGCAACGAATCAACTGGGGAATCATGGTAATAACTATTAGTTCATTTACTTCCTTAACCCTTTACCCTGCAATCATCTCTGAGTGTTACCAGAACTGCACACTTCTGATAGTTCTCTCATATGACAATGTGTAAATTCAAAGACACTCAGACAATACCTCCATCTACAGGACCACCACGCTCTTCTAGCCTGCGGGTCAGCTCCTCTTTGAAGGCCTGGTTTCTCTGTCGGCGACCAGCAGCAAAGCCACAGATAGGTCTGTCAACAGGCCGGGCCACTTCCACCTCCTGAGTCATCTCAGCAAAGCGCATCACCAGCTTTACAAAACAAAAGAAAAGAAAAAAAACTACCATGAAACTAGTTCACATCTTAATAGGAACTAAATTCTGACTGGTTGACATTGCTTACCAGCGTCTCCTCATAATCATCAGCTTTTGGATTTACACACACCACCATTCTCACTTTGCCCTCTCCATCAAAGTAGTTTTTGAATAGATGGGTCACTTTGGAGTCTCTGTAGGGAACCATCTGAAGACACAGGTAAAAAGTGAATTGACGTCGCTGAACTAACATTTTTAAATGATTAAAGGTTGTGGAAATTCACATACCTTGTTGGTGCCACACATCTGGTTCTCCCGCAGTACCTCAATACACGTGCGCAGAGTCATTAAAGATTGATTAATGTTGCCTGTGAGGTAAAAATAAACCCATATGGTGTTCATATGTTCTTTCATAAAACACATGCCTGAAATCCTGAGGTCATTAATGCGTTTTGCAGTGCTATTTGCTGACCTGCTTCACGTAGTCTGTTGCCCTCTGCTCGGGTTCTGCTAGTGCGTTCACTACCAGCTAGATCCACTAGACACAACTGGCTCACGTTCACCTGATTCTTATCCTGAACATGGGAAAATTAAAAGTTTAGCGTTGTCAGTGGTACAACGGTTATATCATAGTACCTAACTTTAGCATGCAGTATCACTATTTTCTACATTTCAAGTGATAGTTTACACAAGAAAATAATCTATTACACACCCTAATGTCATTGCAAACTCAAGATAAGGGTCTTCTGAAATGTGGGTTATTGGATTTAACAAACAGCTTAGGATTTGAACGTGGGATATTAAAGCAGGGCTGCATAATATATGGTTTCAGCATCCACAAGTGTCATCGCATGATGTGCAATGTTATTCGTCAGGGAGCCACAGTTCAGAAGTCATGTGATTTGTGGAGTCACTGCTGTGTTAAACTATAATAAAAGTAAAAGTTAGTTTTTATTTGCACATATTTAAGGCCTGAGAGTTACAGGCACAATAAATGTTACAATTTGTAACATTAATAAAGTTTCATTTTGTTGGATTATTTGTACCGTCAAGATGTTGCCGTTTTACTTTAAAGTTTACTTAAAAACTATAAAGTCTATTTCACTTTTAACTTTGCTCAATTGTGCGCATCTATGCTTCTAATTCATTACACTTTATGTTTGATTCACTCCCCTACAGAATCATCCTAATCCCTCAAAATTAATACATAAATGTGTCTAACATATGCTGAAAAACAAAATAAATTAGTCAGATCTTTCCAATACCACACAGTAGGACTGGGCGATTTAGCTAAAAAAAAAAATCTAGGTTTTTTAAAGTTTGACCGATTCACGATTTCGATTTTTTTTTTTTTTTATTGTGTAACTTTTTTTGTTGTGTAACTAGTCTTCTCAAAACATTACAACAACATGACTGAAAGTAACTTGAAAAACCATCTGGTTAAGGAACATTGTATTTTTAATGGGCATGTCAAAAAAAAAAAAAAAAAAAAATTCGGTCAAGGTGTAAATAAATGTAAAACAAATTCACGAGTTAAATAGCGTTGCTGAAGATTTTAATAAGAAATATTTGTGTAAATATTGCACTTGCAGGAATACAGTGGTGTTTTTTGAAAGTTTTGCTTAGCCTAGGAAAGATTGGCTGTCAGCTCGGCTTTGACGGTCTTCTGATTGAATGACAGGTTGTAAAGCTGCTGCCTTTTTCTTAAAAAGATACAGTGGAAGAAAAGGACTGAACATGGAAACTGTAAAGCCTAATTTAACCCAATGTGTGAAGTTGTGGACGTATAGCAGGAGCCAATACAAGCACCAGATGTGTGTCTAATATAAAATAATATATTTAATCTATTTTTCCTTTTTCCCCTTTTAAATACCGACCATTTTATGCGCTTTGCTCCACTCTCTGTATTATGCTGCCTGATCTGTCTGGTTTTCAACTAGGTCCGCTAAATGACGTCATGGGGAGGGTACTTTCATTTTCACTGCTACAGTCCCTCACCTCTACTCGTGTTCAAACCAGGCCCGGCGCCAGGAAGTCAAAACTGAGGGGGCACTTTAAATCCATAGGGGGGCACTAGACCTGGTGACTGATTTGTCTCTTACTGCCTAAGTTACTGACCTAAGGCAGTAATATAGGCTACGTTTTAATAGTAATAACAATATAGTTTCGCTATTACGAATTTTATTAACGATGGTCATGCATACCGCTTATTAATGCAGACGGATCATGGCTTCAGTGCCAAACGAGTGCTTTTAAATCATTCTCCTTATTTCCGTTTTATTTCAAATAACAGGCCTATGAATGTTTAAAGTTTTAGGTAAAGACGTCAAATTATGCCCACACATGCAAGCTGACCCACGATCAGACTATTCATTTAACCGGTAAATAAATATAGTGAATTCAGCTTAACCGAGTCATCCCGCTTCACGTAGCCTATTATCCAACCAACATCATTGTTAGGGAAAAGCTAAATGTTACATCTAATGTCATTTAAAACAATTACTTAGTTACATTTTAAGGCATTAGTGTAGCCAGAAAAATACCTAAAAAAAGATACTAAAATTCACAGTTATTACCGTGAAAATTGGTTAAATTTTGGCACGGATAACACGCAACTCAATGTATGAAATGTTACTAGGCCTACCCGTCATTTTATTTATTAATTATTTTATTTATTAAGCCTTTTTTTAATAACTTGTTTTCAGGTTATTTTAATTTTAGGGCAATGAGTTACAAGTCAAAACAAACTCGATATGTTGTATTTTAGCTCTTAAAACAGATCTACAATATATTTTATGTTGTTCAATTTTGCATGAGCAAATAGCAGTATAGCCTAAATGACATATTTTTAAAAGATTATCATTCTGCCTACCTGCAGCGCACGAGGTTTCTCGGTTGATCCGCGGTAAATCCACTAAAGCACTAAACCTATTCCATTTATAACACTGCAAACTTGACTTCGCAGGCCGATCATCTTTAAACGCAAAAGGCATTTATTAAGTGTTATACCTTGACTGCTGCTGCATAATGGGATGTTTCTCTACGCAACTGTAAAAGTGTGCTTTTTAGCAAAATGAAAGCAAACTTTAAAAGGGTTCTGCTTTTGTCAATTTTAGCTTAATTGTAATAATATTAATAATAATATTAATCAATAAATTAAAATATTTATAGTGTAGCCTACTGTGGGACTGTGCAGTAAACTATTTATTTTTATTAAAACATTTTTATTAGGCTACATCTTCCCGAACTAATAAATGACTGGCAGTTGCATCTCTGCTACAATTAATTTAACAGCAAATTTCTTATGCGTTTTTTCCTTTTTAGAGCTCAAGAGAGTTGTGTTTAAATAATAAGTTAACCAAAACATGTAATGAATTAAGCTGCTCCTATCATGTCACCCATTTTCTCCCTTGTGAGTTGAGTGCGCCTCCATTGCCGCGTGCACGTTTTATTTACGGGCGCACCAGACCTGACGCGAGGACCGGATCTCTGGACTATAGGACTAGCTTTAATCTCACCATTTTCATAATTCAATTGTTATGTCATATATTTTAAAATATTTAAATGTGTGTTCTGAAGGTTGGAACGACGGGAGTGTTAATAATTAATGACAGAAAGAATTTTCAGTTTGAGTGAACAATCCCTTATGAAAACTGGGGGGGTACAAACTCTTTCTGAGGGGGCAATGCCACCCTTTGCCCCCCGTAGCGCCGGGCCTGGTTCAAACCAAAAGATCGGCGCGGTTTTTCAGATGGCAGGCTTTTACTTCCTTCATACATGTTGAGATCGAGTTTATCGACTTGATGAGGGAATGTCTTGACAAACCACACAGATGTGCAACAAGTAAAATCCTACATGACTTCACGCTTTAACAGGCAGTCAAGCAGGTCGCACACCAGAAGCGCCGCGACACAGCGCGGACATGACAGTTTAAACTATCACACACCAAACGCGCACATTCACATGATATTTAACATGAAACTAATCAGATGGCGCTCTGTGGGCCGGCTGAAATATGAACTGCTTCGTGAATCGTGGTTGGGCGGCGCCGGTGTGTGTGTGTGTATAGAAACCAGTTTAGAATCCTAAAATCCATGGCGCTGCGTGGTGCTGTGCGGCGCGTCGCAGAGAGGCGCTTCTGGTGTGCTTCCTGCTTCATACATGGAGTGAACCAAAGCGCATTGCTGCCATTATAATGTATTAAATATATATATATATATATATATATATATATATATATATATATATATATATATATATATATATATATATATATATATATATATATATATATATATATATATATATATATATATATAAATTTTTTTTTTTTTTTTTTTTTTTAAATCGCGATTTCTCGATTTGATTCAAAATTAAATCATCTTAAAATGTAAATTCGAATTAATCAAAAAAAAAAAATCAGCCCTAACTGCAAGATATTGGAAAAATATTTAGTCTCTTTTTTTCTTGCAATATTCATTGTAAAAATATTGTTAGAAATAATTATACAATAATTGGAATGATTTTTAGGGGAGTGAACTAGCATAAAATGTACAAAGTGAAAAAAGTAAATAAAAAATAATAATAATAAATAAAAAAAAAACATTTAAAAAAATTAAAAGAACAAAGCATTAAATAAACAATGCTTTGTGCTTTCAGGTGGAGTCTAATGGTATTGAGGTACAGAACTATAGTTTTTGCTATTAAACAATTAATCTTTGTTAGTGGCAAACTTTGATGTTTCCTGTGTGCAAATGGTTTAAACTCGATTGAAATTGCTTGACATCCTGCAATGTGACTATTGCAGAATCACACATTCCGATATAGATGCTAAAACAACATTGTGCAGCCCTAAAACCAACCTAAGTAGTAATTAAAATAAACAAATTATTATATTCATTCTAATTTTTCAGCATTGACAAACAAATTACAGATGTCAGTTTCCAAGTGATTATTAAACATGGTCAGTCACTGTAATAAGAGGATCTGACTGTGCAATTGCTAAATCATTGTTGCTCACTAGGGGGTGCCAAAATACCAACAAATTTCTCATTGAATCCACATTAAGACCATATTTGCAACATTACAATTGTAAAACCAGACATAGGTTCATTTTGTTGTTGTTATAATTACTACTACTACTACTAATATTAATAATAATAATAATACAAATAATAATAATAATAATAATAATAATAATAATAACAACAACAACAACAACAACAACAATAATAATGCTCCCTTGACAGGTATATGAAAAGCGGTTTGAGTCTTAGGATATTTAAAAAAAAATGTTTTAATTAACCACAGTAAATACGTTTTAACCAATACTTCATTCTTAAACACAATCCTTAAGAGTTCGTACTGACCTGAAGCACATTGTCTCCATCTGCATCCAGTGGTGCTTGTGCCAATTTAACAATGAACACACTGTGAGAGCGGCTGGACTCACGGTTCAATTGCGTGTTTGCAATCCTACGCTTCTTCTGACCTTTTTCAGAAAACAAAAGATTTCAAACAATGGCTTAGCATGCTTGCCACAAACAAACTCCCTGAGAGAAATTTCTACATATACACAAGCTTACCTCGCCAAAAGACTTCAAAAGCTTCCTCTGTTGACTTGACCTCAACCTCCGTGCACCCGGCCACATACATGTTGTGATTTTGATCTTCACGCAGTATTTTGGATTGGGGTGGTCTGAAATGTGAAATGCAGCATAACGTTTTTTCTTTAACAATCACAGTGGGAAAACGTGCTGCTTTGCCATAAAGCGCAGGCTCTGCATGGACACTGAGCAGCAAGTAAAACAAAAGCACAAGACAAACAGCCAAGACAAAAGCAAACAGACGCCCTAGATGCACTTGAAAGCAAAAGACAGGACGCATACAGTAACTACACAAAGGAAAAAATATCATTAGCAAAAGGCAGCAAGTCCATCTATGAATGGATTCTACTGGCCACGTACATGAACTCAGTGATGTTTCGCACAGGTGTGCCTGCACCATTCCACCTAACAGAAAAACAAAATAGATTTATCTACAAACTACACATTAATAAATATGATTTATTTTTAAAATGTTAAAATTGAAAGGGGACTGAAAAAGGGTTTCTGCAGGTTTCCCAAAGTCAAATTTAAGACCATAATGAATGAAATTTCAGACAGGGCAAAAAAGTAAGCAATACGTCTAATGGCCAGAGGAAACTAGTTTTTTTAATTATCCCATCCAAAAAATAAAAAAATAAAAATTTAGTAATTTCCAGGGTTTTGGCAGGTTTCAGCAGGTTAAATTTAAGACCAAGACATTTTTAAGACTATTATAAAATTTTAGACTCATGCAGGGCTAACTTTTTATAACACTATAAATATATACATTGTATTACACTGTGTTAAAACATACTATTTAAACTTTTCTTAAAAAAAAAAAAAAAATGTAAAGGTTTAAAAAGAATAAATACAAATAAATGTATGCACAACAGTCAGACCAGGGGCCTGTTTCAGAAAGGAGGTTAAGTGAAAACTCAGAGTATTTTAACCCTGAAATGAGAGAAACTCTGGGTTTTCCGTTTCAAAATGGCAGGTTTGTTAAACTCGAGAAATCAGGGTAAGTCAAGCCTGTTTCTGAAAGAAAGGTAACTTTAACTCAGAGTCAGTTACTGTGGTAACTTACTCTGTGAATCTAACCAGGTCCGGAGCAGGTTTTATTCCCTAAACTCTGAGTTTCTGTCGGTCTTCTCCCCTTTTTTAAAGATGAAGTGTATTTCTCGCATTAGCCTTACATTTCCACACACCTATTTTAGAGCTCATTTTGGAGATTCCCATAAAAACGATTGATGGATACGTCGTGATTAACATAACTTTTGAAAATACGCATAATTAAACATGTGCATAACTGAGTAGGTTAAACTTTTATTTGATAAGATGTACATAAACTACGAAGTGCACTTAACAAATTACAGTATGTACATTAAAAAAAAGGTTTGTTAGAGATGATGATGAAAATGTGTGTGAAAGGACAAACCATCAGGCTGAGCACACTGCAGAACATTTTAAATGTTGTTTTAGTCATTCTAAAATGCCTTTACTGTTTCAGTATTAGTGTATATTATTAATTACCTCCGAGCATCTGGAGTGTGTCAAGATCTCCGCGTCTGGCTTCAAACGCCCCCACGTGTTCATTGTTTGTCAATTGTATTCTGAGGCGCAAGTACATTAATTAAATAAAAAAATCATTGACGCAGCTTCTTCTACCGCAGTAAATTCTGTTTTTACTGTTGATATTTGGCGCAAGTTAATCAGGAAGTGACGATTGTGTTCTCTTCGACTGTTTGGATAAAAACGCGGCTTTATTTTTAGGCGTTATTCCAGTTTTGCACAAATTTATGTAATAGCCTATATTTTGATGGAAACACAGCTATTGCCTACATTTGTCACACACAGAACAAAGTCACGTATGAGGCTTGTCCTTTTTTTCATAAATAATTAGCTTAACGTTCGACATGCACTGTTACTAGATTAATGGGATTATTATTCTGTCTAAAAATTATTTTATTACTGCTTACCTTCTTAATGTTCTAAACTTCTATCACTTGATCAATAAAAAGGCAGACACACAACAAGTGCGCTGTTAAATCTATTAAAACTGATAAAAGTGTATAAAAGTTTAGAAAAAAGTATAAACGACACACATTACATTACTTATTTTATTATACTTGAATGTTTAAATAATTAAAATTAAAAATTACGCATTGACTTGAGCAGCTGTTTTCCCACGCTAACGGTCTCTGTTTCACTGATGGTTGCTTCTTTTAAAATATATACACTTATATTTGCTATAACTTTGCATGAGCAGATCAAGTTCAGCCGGTGAAAGAAATGGTGATCTCTTTTTTTTAAGATGTTGCCATAGTCACTCGTAATATCTGCACTCCATTGATAATGCCTTTTTATAGTCACGGTGTGCGCGCTTAACTCTGAGTTGGTCTACTCAAAGTTGATTGACCCAGCTCAGATCAGCTGTTCTGAAACCGAAAACTCTGAGTTTTTAATCTCTTGGTAAATCAACTCAGAGTTCAAGTTTAAACTCAGAGTTGTTTGAACCTCCTTACTGAAACAGGCCCCTGGTCAGCTTACTCAGCAGTAAATACATAAAGAACTAAGTAAATAAAAAGTTAAAAGTTTTATTGATATTGACTGTTGGTAATTGCCTGGGTGTTGGCCAGACTGGATTGCTATACATGAACAAAGGAAAATTAAAAACAAAAGATTTAAGACCTACAACACAATATTTCAGTAAATTTAAGACTTTAAGGCCTAAGATTTTGTTTTTGAAATTTAAGACCCTGCGGACAACCTGGTTTCTTAGCCAGATATTTTGCATAGCATGTCAAACTCTAGTTAAATACATAAACTTAATCTGGTTAATAAATTTTACTTTGTTGAATGATTTTTAGATGGATTGTTGATGATTGGCCTGATTGGGTAACTTCACAATGAGACAGTAAAATTATGACCTGTTTAAAATTATTTAAGATCTACAACATAATATTTCATCAAATTTAAGGCCCTAAAATGTAGTTTTTGAAATTAAGTCATTTATGATCCCACAGACAGCCTGTAAAACTTGGAGGGAATTACAAAAGCTAACAGAGCCAAAGAAATCTACATTGCTTTTTTCTGTTGAGGGAAAAAATTACTCTGCATATACACAGGACATGAACATTGTTGCTCAATGCATTCTGCTATGGCAGCTATGCACCGTTGCATTTAATCAAAAATACAGTAAAACCACGATAATGATAATGTACATTAAAATGTTTATATCCATTAACATTCATTATACTATTTAAATCAATGATGTGCATGTATATAATTCTCATTTAAAGTGCATGTATAATACCACAACAAGTTAGCATAATACATATTACACAGCATTACATACAATACATTACTACACATACATAAACACATATTTTAACATAATATTCATATGGCACTGCACTTTCTTACTGAATATTGAATGTCACAGTATTAAACGAAGCTTGATAAAGGAGAATGGATACCCAGTGACAGGGAAAAAATTCTTATGATGAATCAACACAAAAAGGACAAACTTAAGCTTACTTGGGCTTTATGGGGTCAAAGGGGGTCTCCTCTAGGAGGTCATAGATGTAGTTGTTGTAAATCTCAATGTAAGAAACGAAGACACTGTAGCTGCTGTCCTCATCCACCCCTTCAGCCTTACAAGCCTCCTCTGGGCTGATCATGTCAGCAAACTCTGGGTCAACTCGTCTACAAAACAACATCAGATAAATGCACTATATTCAAGTCAGATTAGGCACTAATGTGTAAATTTTAAATGAAAAAAAACCTTGTGTTTGGGGTCTTTGGTACAGATGTCTGACTGTCTCGCTTCTGTCGGTCCAACAGTGCATCAACCTGATTCTGCACCTCCATGCCATTTTTATCATCAGGCTTGAAAACCTAATGAAGGACAGCATTAGCTAAAGAGTACAATTTTTTAACAACATAATAAAAAGTACTTGAGGAATCTGCTCACATATCTCTTGGCCTGGTAAGGACCGATGCTGTTGAAGATCATGTCGAGAGAGCGTGGAAGCAACCCACCCTGACCCGGTGAGCCTGTCATTGTGTGAGTTTTACCACTGCCGGTGACGCCATAGGTAAACAACAGGCCTAGTTTTAAAAGTAAACTGCTGTCAGACAGAGCACTTTTTAAACGACAATAATTATTCAAGAACAGTGGATTTACCATTTTTTCCATGAATGAGGTCTTGGGCAAGAGGTTTAGCAACATCTTCAAATAATTCCCTCTGTGTCGTTTTAATTCCAAACACTTTTTTGAAGGAATATTGTGTCTGAAAATGAGTTAGTTGAGGATAAAAAATAGATAAGACAAATCTGATTGAATAAACAAGACACATAATCTGCATGTTGTATGAATATTTACAGTGCTTTTACTGGTATTTATAAGAATGATTCACGATAATGAGAATAAATGGTTAAAGGTGCAGTAGGTGATCTGCCAATCTGCTAACCGGTTAGCATAATATCTTTGAAATACATTCCCTATCCTGCCTCCTGAAATCACAAACGCGTACATTAAAGATAACAGTAGACAATCCACTAGATCTTGTCATTTACTAGTTAGAAAACATTATAGTACTTTATAATACTACAATTCTGAATGAAAAACTGTATTATATCTAGCACATTTTCAGTTGTGTAGCAAGCAAAACCTGTCATGTGCAATATTTCATGCATCATGCAAGGAAAGATCTCTGGTCTCTCTCACACGCTTTGCCCTAAAGCGACTACAGTATGATTAGTGGTTGGCCGGCAGGGTGCAGGACTTACACATTACAAAGCCATTCTTGCATGCCATTTCAGACCGAATATTCAAAGTAGCATGGTAAACAATATAGGGACCAAAAATGAACCAATGTGAATATAAAACCAATTTCCCCACAGTAAACAGGCTAGGCAGAATAGTTCCATTTAGTTGTTGTTAAACTAAATAAACATTGTCAATGCTGTAAAAGGTCTCTTATGAAATTGAACAGCCACTGAAATGTCTCGCCAAAAGATTGATGTGACTAAACAACACTCCTGTGCATATAACTGATTCAAAAAACAACACAGTCAACATCAGCTTTGAGTGACTAAAATACTTTTAAAACATAACATCACCTGTCTAATATAAATACTTCAGCAAAGGCATCATCCTTCCTCCAACGTGCAAAAGTAATTCCAATATTGATTCAGGATTTTAAAAAGTTTTGATTCAGCATTTGTTTAAAAAATAAATAAAAAAATCGTTCTCTCTTCTGTGCATGTAATGAATGTGGCGCGCACTCACGCGTAAATGGCAGATCTGCGTGAATTGGTGTGCAGATGTTCAAATGTACATTTGCTGACAGACTGTTTGGGCTACTTATTAGAATTATGGGAATTGTGGGGCCAATGAATTTTAAATGGATGAACATTTTTTCGTCTTATGCCTCACTCAGAGTATAAAAATACACTTAGATCATTTACTTTAATCATTACTATTGGAATGCAAAGAGACTTTTAACCAGCACAACAAAAAATGTTTCTGAAGACAATCACCTACTGCACCTTTAACTACTGCAAAAACTATCCCTTGTGTTGCAAAGATTTTTACTGAAAATGAATTATCTTCAGACCACAAATCTCGTCAAACAGATATTGTACAAGCTGCAGTTCATGACCAAAAATTCAATACAATATAATAAAATACAATTTAGGGCTGCACGATTTTGAAAAATACATTGTGATATGAATAAAAATTCACAAGATGCCTTGAACAGCTTGGTTGAAGAAATAATAATAATAATTCATATTTTTTAAGATTGTAATAATTTTGCAGGGAGTACATCTGCATAATATGTTTAAAAAAAAAGCATAGATAAGTAAAATAAAATGTGATTTATGATATTTCTAAGGGAGTCTAACTGTAGTCAGGGACACAAATTAAATAATTAAATATAAAAAAAAACACTATATAGTCTAAATACGATCGTATACATAATTCAATTTAATTAATCTTTATTTAACCTCCAAACATTATAATTTATTGTGCCTGATTGCTTTTAACTCTCCTGAAATGATCAGACAGTCGCAGAAAAAAAAACTGATAAACATTCACTTTATTATATTTAAACATTACAGTGATAAATCCACAAATCTCACATTCTGAACTGTAGCTCCTGGTTAATTATAATCTAGACTCAACATTGTTGATCATGCAACGCGATTATTTCAAATCTGCGCATTGTGATATCAATGCTGAAATTTTATACCGCGCTCTAGTACAATTTAATCTCTTCAGATTGCTCAGTTCATATGGACACATTTCAGCAGCAGTTTTGCATGAATACATTAACAGTGGAGTAGAAATACTTCACTTTTTTATTATAAAATATCTACATTTATGTTTTCAGGATGAACAAAAGTGTTCTGGGTTTGGAATGACACGAGAGTGAGTAAATGAGTGCAAGATAAATTAACTCTTCAATTCCTCACGAAATGCAAAAAAATAGGCTTCTTAAATAGAGGTAAAGTTGGTTTTATATTGGCACATTCTGACTTCCTCCTTTATAATATACTTTCACAAAAGTGTTTACAAATTCTAAATAGAGAAATCATGTTAGCAGCCAATGACTATCAAAGTACAGCACTGTTCACAGTCAAGTAAATATTGCTATTGTTGTTTTGAAGTCATAGGTAAATGTGGTTTCAGACCGAATATTTAAAGTTCCAAGGTAAACACTATAGGGAGCATGTCACAAGTTGTCACTGAACAAATGAGCGAATATAAAACCAACTTTACCTCAATGACTTCTTATGAGTAAACGGTTGGCACACGTCCACTAACCTCTTTGAATTCCCCATTCCTGTTGGCTTTGAGTCCATCAGGAGCATGTAACTGAATGGTGGTGTTACTTATAACCTCAATGCAACATTCCTCATCTTCAGCACCCAGTGGCCGAACTCGACAATACACCTGTCAAAGAGATCTCAAATTAATATATTTATCACAATTTCGATTAACTAAATGTGAGGACAAGTTACAACATACTCCAACAGGGTCCTTTTGGTTGTTTGAAGGTTTTTTTGGAGGAGGGCGGCGGGGGGTCTTGCCCTTCCTTTAACAATAAATTCAGACAACATACAAGTTAGTAAACACGACTTAAAATAAAAATAGACGAACTAAATATGAAGAGTCCTAACTTAATATAACGTTAAATGACGTTTTAGAGTTACACTATAAAAGAGACAATCAGTAGATTACTTATACAATTTTAATCTAACGTTAAACTAAATCTGGAATTTGAAACTAAATATAGTGTTTGACGTTTATCGATAATAATGTAGATAACAAATTATTAAACTTCTAAAACAAATAGTAAAGTAGAGAAATAAAGTAAAACTTCTTAGGCAGAGACGGTGGATTAATTCTAAACGATTAACGCTAAAGTAAACGCAACAGGCGGTGAGTTACACTAGATGGCTAACGTTAACAAATGCCTGCTGAACACCACTCAACGTCCGTATGAAACAACAGACTGACTAAACGAACTTTGAATTACTGGTTATCTATTTAGCACAACTAAAACACAAGTCGGCATAAAATACTTACGCTTGCCTAATCATGCTGAGATGTTTTAGTTTAATTCCACGACGCTGTTACCTTCTTGTTGACCGTATACAAATCCGAAGTTTCAAACGTTCCCTCGTCCGCATCAGACACAGATTTTTCAAATGTGACCAATCAGCGAGCTCAAACACTCCTCAGAAGAGCGGATGTCCCGCCTTAAGCCCCGCCTAATGGGCGCTTGACAAATTCCGGTTTAAGCCAGGAGCTTACATAAAGGAAAACAATGAACTCTGTTAATAAAAAATGCAAAGAAGATTTAAAATATTCTTAAGGAGTATACGATTTTTAATTACTGAATGAAAAAGTAATATCAATTTAAAAAGCATTGTTTTACATGAAACCTTCAAGATCCTGTGATCTCACATTTCCCTTTACCCGAATGCATACTTACAAATATATTTGTTTGTCTTATAACGTTAGTTTGTATTTTGTACACCCCTGATGCTCTCTTTTCTTTCTTTTTGTATTTGTATTGTTGTGTACTTTGTTCTTTAAGCATTAATAAAAAATAAAGAAAAACAAACAAAACGCAAAAATCGAAAAATACGTGTCTGTCTGCTTGTGTTAAAACTTTTATGTATATTTGAATATTATAATAGCCTAATATTAAATATTATTATAAGCAGAGGAATAAATTATATATTTACACACACACATTTGAAGTCAGAATTAATAGCCCCCGTTTATTTTTAGTTTTTCCCCAATTTCTGTTTAACAGAGATTTTTTTTCAACACATTTCTAAACATGATACTTTTAATAACGTATTTCTAATAACTGATTTATTTTATCTTTGCCATGATGACAGTGAATAATATTTTACTAGACCTTTTTTAAGACACTTCTATACAGCTTAAAGGGACATTTTAAGGCTTAACTAGGTTAATAAAGTTAACTAGGCAGGTTAGGGTAATTAGGCAAGTTGTATAGTGATGGTTTGTTCTGTAGACTATCGAAAAAAAAATAGCGAAAAAAAGGGGCTAATTGTGTTGGCCGAATTATATTTTTAAAAATAATTTATATATATATATATATATATATATATATATATATATATATATATATATATATATATATATTTATAAAATGCGTTTTGATACATTTAGTTGTACATTGGGATGTCTTGATTTAGTTTACATTATAACTGTCTTTATAACTGTTTATCATCCTTTTAAAATAAACGTAAAAATTATTTTTAAAAAACAAAAGATTTTATGGTTTGCCACATTTCTTCAAATGTCTGCAAGAACATTTTAACACACTTAGTTTAATCACTTATTCTTTCATTTTCTTTAATAAATTCAGTTTATAATAAAATGTATGGTTTTATGACTAAAGTATTTCTTGCATAAATTTTGGGTTACACAGAATGATGAAACATACAATTTATCACTTTTTTCATCAAAGTTATATGTAACTATATAATATTCAACTTAGTTGCATTCATATTTTTACATGCGCCAACACATATTTATCATAAATTCTGCAGTTAAACTTTTTTATTTCAGATGCCAAAATGGAAAATTACATCTTTGATATCCATCTATAGAGAGAGAGAGAGACACGGGACACGGAGAGTTATCTTTAAAGTTTTATTTAGAAAAATAGCATATCTTCTCAATACAGTTTCTTTACAAGACAAAGACTTCACAAATACAGTGTTCAAAAAGCCTTATTTAAAATAGGCACTTGGATAAAAATTATTATAAATGTGATTCATGTGCTTGGAACATGGAAATGTGCTTTGAAATAGTGCAAATTTTAGGAATGTGATTTGAAGCAGACAAAAACACAAAACATTTACAAAAAAAAAGAATAATAAACACACAAATTACAAATTTTACAGACTTATATTCCTCCGGATTAGAATCTTTTCAGGCCACTTAACATAGCTATAATACATACAATATAATTTTTTTTTTTCAGAGGGAGCTTACTTGGTTGGCCTGTGCAGTGACATAACCAAATGTCAAATTTCAGAATGATTTGTTCTTCACACCTCTGGTGGAGAAAAGCGATAGACTGAAGACATATACTATACAAAGCCCACTGACCACACTAAAGAACGCAGCTCCTACTGTGTTTAGAAAGGTGACTGGCGGCAAATGAGCATGAAGCCACTGTTTCCTTGCAGCCATGTCAAGTTCAATGGCCGTCATCTGGAAATATGTGCCAATAATAGCGAACACGTGGAAGAGCTGATGACTGTGACCTGTGAAGGATGCATAAATGAACCACGGATTATATTTAATAGAGTTTACTGTAGTTTTAAAGCTTAAATGTTACATTATCTGAATTTATGATGTTTAGTTAAAAGTGGATCCAGAAATCTGTAGTTGTACCTATGTAGTCAAAACTGCCAGGAGCCAGTCGTTCAGGCAGGTGTGTGGCAAAAAGAAAGCCAGTAAAGAAAGCCAATGATGTGTGCTGATAGTGAACTGTATTAGCCTCATTAACAGTGCAGCCCTCACCAGCGCACACAAAGATCTACAAGAGAAGACAAGAAGTCCAATTGAAAGTGCTACTATTTTTGGATGTTATCTTTCATGTGTGTAATACAACTGTTTACATAAGAGGTCTGCTTAAAATAAAAAAAGGGCCTGAAATTAAACAAGCATTTACTTCCACTCCATTTACTATAAGTTGTACTAAAAATTATAAATGTGAGACCAAAATTTCCCAACATGACTACTGTAATCCATTGAATTTGAAGGTCAACTCTGCGCAGTTGCTACCAAACCAATAGCACACAACCATAAAATACACTCTGTAATATAGCATCAAATAAAAGCAAATATATTAGAAAAAAAACATTTGAATAACATGTACAGCAGTCTAGTGATGGGAGATAAAAGAGTAGAAACAATTGAACCGATTGCTCTGCAAAATGATTCACTCTAAAGCAGGGTTTTTCAAAGTCTAAGACAGTAGGCCTCCCTTTTGACACAACTTATCCATTGGCGCCCCCCTCCTCCCAAACACGCACGCACGCACGCACGCACGCACGCACGCACGCACGCACGCACACACACACACGCACACACACACATATATATATATATATATATATATATATATATATATATATATATATATATATATATATATATATATATACAGTATATATAAAGACACAGACAGATGTCAGACTGTTAACTCATTTTTATCATCATTTGCAAGAAAGTGCATATATTTACAGAGTAATAAGTATTTTAATATAACATTTTTAAAACTAGGATGATGGTTCAATATGAATAGAACAGATCCAAGAACTGCCCATCCCAGTCAAAACAGTCGAAGTTTTGCGGGTCTCATGCTGGCATTAGCCAAAATATTTTGACAAACCACACATAAAAAGTCGTGGTTCATCAGCTGGTCCTGTCCACGTAAATCCTAAACTCAAATACTGATCATCATATCGTCGTCTTTTGGGTTTAAGCCCTGAACTTGAAGGCTTTTGTGGCGAGGGGGCGTGGCCGAGAGCCGTGGGAACGGAGTGAGCCTTTGCCTCACAAATGTGGCTTTTGTGGTAAAGTTCAATTAAAGAGGAAACAGGACTAAATTAATCAATTGAATTAGAATTTTACAATAATTATTTTACAATCTTGAATGGGTCCAAACCTGCAACAGGAGACCTCCGGAGCGAAGTTAGAGACTTTAAAAAAAGTCATAACAGGCACTTTAAAATAATGACTGTTATTCATATGCAAATTCAGTTTAAATACAGCTAAAGCAATGCGCAGCAAAACAAAATCAGATATGAGCCACTTACTCTGTAAAAGAGGGGGATGTTGTCGAAGAGATATGGATAAACAAATGCAATTATCCGGAGACATTTACAAAGCTTCTGATCCAATTTCCCAGAAGGCCTAAAAGAGAATAACAATAGTTTATTCACTTGAACATTATTTTTACAATCAAGATTAAAATGCAAAACAATAAATACCTTTTAATGCTGTGGCAATTATACTCAAGAAATGGTAAACCAAGTCTAAAAACAAACAAATCAAAAGCTTCATCAAGACATTTTTGCATAATATGTACAGTTAAAGCAAAATCTGTATCTAAAATAGTCATACTGGAATTATAGGTTTTATTGATCACCTATCCTACCTTGAGTAGCAGGCAAGAGCAGTGGAGATAATAGAGTTGACAACAGCTATAGAAACATAGTTTAAGTGAAATGTGCCATTAACCCATTTATCTGGAAACGAGTAAGAGGAGTAGATGATGGCAGAACCTGTTGGTAAACAAACACACAATGTAAAGGTTAGATGGACAGTTCAAACACCAACATGTACATTTGTTGACCATTTACTCATTCTCAAGTGGTCACACAGAGTTTTTTCTGTAAAAGCAAAAGACTCAATTTTGAAAACTGTAGGAAAAGAAAAATGCTTCACAATATCTTCATTTTTGTTCAAAGACAGAACCCCAAGCAGGTAAAAATGATGGCAAAATGCCCATTTTTGAGTGAACCATCCCATTAACATACAAAAGTCGTACATAATTGGAAACTTTTTACCCTGTAGTTTTGTTTGCATCATATACAAACCAAGGCTGTAGAAGCTGAGTGCTCCATAATCAAAAAAGAAGCAGATGTGCCTGGCCCGTTCAGACATGGTGCTGAAGGTGTGGGCGCAGCTGGAAGCCAGTGGATACACACAGCATGACAGCAGGAACACCAGGAAAGGCCATATGAAAGGATCCCGCCAGTCCTCCAGCACCAGCACCACCGTCAGCAGTTTCCACAAGAAAAACCTTGCAAAGAAAAAAAAAACATTACTTCACACTTTACAATCGAAATATGCAAGCAGTAGCAGAAGCTCTTCTTGCACTTGCAATAAACAAACATACAAAAAAAGATAATGGTGAAAATATGCACTATTAAAGGTTTTATATCTCTGAAGTAGACAAAATGTTTTACATCTCGGAATTAAATATAAACAAAATGAAGAGATGTGAATTTTTTATGTCTATATCATATTACAAGGGATTTTACAGACATAAAAAGGATATTAAAAGGTA